CAATCCCCCAGCACCACATGCCAGCCAGCCCCGCCCCCTGGTGGGCTGAGCTGGCCACACACACACACACACACACACACACAAATAAATAAATAAAATTTAAAAAAAAACAAAAACAATGTACATGTACACTGGAGATTGAACCCACAGGTTTTATTCTGAGCTACATTCCTGGCCTTTTTTTTCCCCCTCCCCCTTTTTTGTACCAGGAATTGAACTCACAACCTTGATCTAGTCAGGCAGGTGCTGCGCCCTCAGCTATATCCCGAGCCTGGCCCCTTTTTTCTATTCCTCCCCCCTACCTCCCCCCCCCCAGCTGGACTCAAACTTGTGAATCTGCACCCCTCAGGCTCCCAAGCGCTAGAACTGCAGGTATGCACCTCCTGGCCCAGCTTCCACTCTGCTTTACAGCAGGTTTACATCCTCAGCAGAGCTGACCAGAAGCCAGTCCCCAGGCAGCCCGTGCCCCTCCCCACACAGGTCGCACAGGTGCACTGCACATGTCGCCGTCACCCGGCCCACGCTTCCCCCAGGTTCACTCTTGGCGGTTTGCCCTGGACGGGTTCCTACTATCTGTACGGACCTGTACCCGCGTCTGAGCACCAACAGAAAAGGGTTGTTTCCTAGAGTCCTCCAGGCTGCACTAATTCATGCCCCACCTGCATCCCTGGAGGCCATTAATATCTTTATTGTCACCGCGCCCCGCCTTTTCTAGACCGTTGTGGGGCTGCCGTCAGACAGCATACAGCACTTTCAGATCCGACGCTTCCATTCGGTGATGCGCGCTCTCGGCGTGACAGCGCTATCACGGGAGGGGGGCGTCTTCCATTGCCCTCCTTCACTCCTTCCTCACGGCAGGGCAGGTTCCTAAGTGCTTAGCACCCTTGTCCATGGGTCCCCTCATCTCTGTCACTTCTGAGTCTTTTTCTATTAACTTTTCGCTCCTGCTTCACTGCATACTGGTTTTCACTGGAGGTGGAGCACTTCGACTTCACATCGCTGAGTGCTGCATTTCTCCTATTAAAAGCACTGGGGTTCTGCTCAGGTGGGTAAGCTCCTTGGGACGAATTCTCTCAGGGCTAGCACCTGGGCTTTGTTAGGACGGGTCCTAAGGGCCCCTCCCAGGCCTCCACGTGAGCCAGGCCGTCTTCTCCCCGGCCACGGCTGCGAACTGTGCCCAGCATTCCGTGAGGACCCTGTTGTGCCTCGCTCGTTTCTGGTGGCTCTGCCCTGGGAAGCCGCTCCCCTCCGTGACCAGCAACAGACCCTGGCTTTCTGCAGCTCTCGGATGCTGCCCCCCACGGGCAACACCCTCCTCTCCACCATTCCGCCTTTGGCCTCCTAACGCCCAACCTTGGTCTTCTCTGCCCAGCAGCATACAGATGTCAAGTTTCTGCCCTCCTTCACCTTAGTCTGCAAACTGTGTGCCAGCGATAAGCTCACTAACGAGAGCTCACTGTTTATTTGCTGTTTTTACTTTCCAGACAGCTTTTGCTAAATTGTCAAGGCTGGCCTCAAATTCACGACCTTCCTGCTTCAGCCTCCTAGTACCTGGGTTATAGGATCATGCACTGTACCTGGCTTAATTTACCTCTTTCACCTTCTTTCTGGATTGCAAATGCCTTTTCTCCAGTGTTTAAAACCTGGGTGCTTCATACATTTTGTCCAAATTTTACTTGTTTAAGGCTGAAAAGTATCTGATCCATTTTCCTCAGATCTTGATTATATGTATAAAATATATTTGAGACACATCCTCAAAATAGTAGTGGGTCCAGGAGATAGCTCAGCTTGCCTGGCAAGTGTAAGGTCCTGAGTTCAATCCCTGGTACCAAACAAACAAACAAAAAACACAGTAGTTTCCTAAACAGACATTAAAAGGACAACTAAAGATTACTGGAGGGTTGGGGGGGCACACTTTCATAAACCCGCAGAGGAAAGGGGCTTGTTTTGAAATTTCATATTCAACCCAGTCAAGAAAGGAAACAAACAGCATTCTTTGCTAGCAAAGATGATTTATTGAGCTCCACAGAAGAAATGTGACCCACGCCACAGCAAACCAGCTCTGCTCTCCCAAGGAGACGCACATTAGTGTTGGCTTCCAGCAGAGTCCGGGCAGTGTGGCGGACATGTTCGAGCTGGGGAGTTTCCCTGGTCTTCTCAAATTAAGGTTTTTCTAAAATAATCTTGGGATTTCAACCAAAGGTCAAGAATTAAATTCACAGAGTTACAAAACAAGGGATTTGTGCTTAAAAAATTAATAGATAGCCACCATTTTTGGAAGTGACTTCCACAGTCCATGAAGAAGTTTCATAAATATTTTAGACTCTATGTAAAGCTTTATCCCCATTCAACTAAGTATCTTCTGTTTAAAAATAAAAGCATGTCCTGAAAACTACAATGGTGAGCTATTGCAAATGTGACAAAAATATTTTAAAATTAATAAATATTAAAGTGAAAAAATTAAGTCATTTCACAGAACTGTAATGGACACTTGTTCCTAACTGCTTACAAAAAAAGAAAATTATGTTTTTAAAAAGTCATACAGTACTAAAAAAAAGATATGCTTGGAAAATCTATAAATTTTCTTCCCTTTAAAAATTTCAAAAAATATTTTGAAAAGAATTAGAGTCCCTTCTTTTAAAACCTAACACACCCATCGCAATTACTACAGCTTCACTGCTTTGCTATAAAAATATTTAAAATTCAATGTTAATTTAGATAAAATTTTTAATTCTAGCATAATTAAGAAAAATGAAAAAAAATTAATCTCCTAAAATGCAAATGATGCTGATTTGGCTCTAACACTTAAAACAATATTTATTATGATTATTACTTTTGATTAGTTTATTTAATAGAATTATGCTTGGTTTTGTAACGACATTATCCGTTCAGGACCACTGCAATGATTAAATAAAACTCCTTAAGTGCAATCAGCTTTTGGCCTTGCCTCCTCTACCGTGCTCCCGGGCAGCGAAGACCCACTTGGTGAATGCACACGCGTCAGCTAAAGTCCATGGCTTACATTCCGTTGGTGTAAATAGCTTCATGTGGAAGTGCGTTATTTTCTTTGTGCAAAGTCTTAAATTCAAAATAAAAGGGCAAAAATGTGGAAATGTTCTTTTCACTACTGAGGGACAGACTGTTTTTCTTTTTCTTCCTTTTTTTTTTTTTTTTTTTTGCCCCGTACCAGGGATCAAACTCAGGATTTGCTAGGTAGGCACTTAAGCCACTGAGCTATCTCCCCAGCTGACAAAGTATTTTTCAATTTGTTTTTGTCTGCTTGAGACGGGGTCTCACTGTGTAGTTCAGATTGGCCTGAACTCTTGGCAATCCTCCTGCCTCAGCCTCCCTTGTCCCGGGATTATGGGCACCCCTGGCTCTAACATATTCATCATACTGAGAAGGATTATTTTGCTGTCATCACATAGACGCTGATAACACAGTGCCATCAGGGGAATGCACACAGACTCACAGGAATCAGTGAAGCCCCCGGAGATACACCCAAATATCTGGAAGCTAATTTTATCTGACACTTAGTTGCTAAATTAGTTGGGGACAAGGGAAGAGCAAGAGACCAGGAGGCTCCGGGCAGCGGAGGAGCCCCAGCTCCCCCTCCTTTCCACCGGCTCTGTCCCTGCCTCCCTCCAGCCCAGGGCACATCCTGCTCGCCTCTCTGGCCCCAGTGAGAAGCACCTTTCCCCGGGGTCACAGTGACAGCCCTGATGAAGGAGACACGACGCGGGCGCGGGCAGCGCGGCTCGGCAGACCCCGCTCACTCTCGACTCAGCACCAGCAGGGCAGCGCGGGCTTGGCCTCGGGCTTCAGGGCCAGCCCGGCGTCAGGGGGCTGGCTGAGCACGAGCGGCTTGTGGCTCTTGAGCTTGTGCGCCAGGGTCATGAAGATGGCCTCCACGTGGTCGCTGTCGTGCGGGCTCTTGGCCGACGTCTCGAACAGCGGCATGCTGTGCGCGTCCGCGAACTTTTGCGCCAGGTCCGTGGGCACCTGCACGGCGCCACGCAAGTCACACTTGTTCCCCACGAGGATGCGCGGGATGTCGCCGGCCAGCAGGTGCTGCCTGCACTCCTCGATCCAGGCCGGCAGGCTGTGGAAGCTGGCCACGTTGGTGACGTCGTACACGAAGACCACGGCGTGCACGTTGCGGTAGTAGTGCTGCACCATGCTCTTGCGGAAGCGCTCCTGGCCTGCCGTGTCCCACAGCTGGATCTGGGGAGACAAGCAAGACCTCGCTGCAGTGATGCCCAGGGGCGCGGGGCGCGGGCCAGGGGCGCACGCTGCCCGGGGCACCACCCAGCTCCTCAGGGAAAGAGGCGGCACCTCCAGAGGGGCTTTTAAAATCCTTTCAAGAGAAAATATGGGGGCAGGGAGATGGCTCAGTAGAATAAGCGCTTGCCCGGCAAGCGCAAGGCAATACGCTGTTCCACCAAAAAAAAAAAAAAAAAAAAATAAAATATGGCTACATATCCTGCCGGCCCGCCCCTGGGCACGCTGAGCCGGCCACTGAGACCTGGCAGGTGGCACACGCCTGAAATACCAGAGCTGAAGGGACTGAGAACAGGAGGATCAGTACGAGTCCAAGCTGTGTAGTGAGACTCTGTATCAAATACATTTAATAATAATAATTTAAAAAATATATATGGGCCAGGGATATAGCTCAATGCCATAAGCACCTGCCTCACAAGCACAAGGTCCCAACTTCCATCCCTAGTACCAAAAAAAAAAAAGAGAGACAGAGACAGAGACAGACAGACAGAGAGAGAGAGAGAGAGAGAGAGAGAGAGAGAGA